AAATCCAAATTTCTTTGAGAAGAAACGCGACTGAAGTTGATGCTGAGATGACAAAACAAGAAATGACGAAGCAGATTAACATCACAACTTCTTAAGGCTCCTTCGGATGTTTTAAACAATTAAAAAGCAGGTGAAACAAGTTTACTACCAAACACGAAAACTGATGCGGAGAAGACGTACATTTTTGCCATTCCTTATGAAGCTTTACAAAAATAAGGATAAGCTCAATTTCTTGTAAATAATTAGCATTTAAGTGAAAATTCAAAACCATTTGTGATAAATAGTCTGTTTATTTTAAATATAAGAATAACATGTGTTTCAGCAAAATGAACTAATGAGAAACTTGAAAAGAAATCAATAATAATTAATTCAAATAATTATATCTTGATCCAACTTCCAAAGAGAACTGAAATTTATTGTTACCTAGCAGACAGAAATCTGATTACTTTTTTAACTTGTATTCTATTACCACTACAAATGTTGAATGGTTGGAGTCGGTTAACAGAAAAATACAAAAGTTAGGTTTCTTGGTGGACAGTACTCAAGAATTAGTCATATCTTCAGTTTTGAGAAAACGGATTAATTCATTAGTGTTTGAATCTGGAGCGGCATTGGACTTGAATATATATGTGTATATATGTATGAAGAGACAAAGAGATGGTGAAGATTTGTGGTACAGGACAATTACTTTAATGGAGTCGCGTTTTCTGAGTTACGTTGTTTAATTGTGAAGCTTTCATAGTTTTCCGGAATAATTTGACCAATACAAACTTCGGGAATATATAAATATGTAATTTTTGCTGTTCAACGAATCAAGTCACTCAAAAACAAAATGAAAAAACGTTAAATTGTATTTTGTGCATGATTGCACTGTTTAACGGTAACACTAGAATTTTCTTTTTACTGATGCTGGAGATATTGATCAAATCCAACATAGTTATTTAGTTATTACTAGTTCAGCTAATAATGAATCAAGACATTTAATAGAAAAATATCATGTATTAAGAATCAGCAAATAGTCAGTGAATCAACATTAAAATGAAACTACGTTTAATATCATGAAATAGTCATGGAGGACTTAAAGGTATCATTCATTATAGATTGATATTAACCAAAGAAATATTTCCATAATAACCTCAGAATACAGCACAGTTGTTTCCATGTACGTCAATAGGGGTCGCTGATATAGTGAGTAAAGAGTAAGAGTAACATACCAAATTGAATAGTTTGTCTTTGATAAGTAATCATTTTTTCATAAAGAAGCTATTTCATAACTTAGTAACTTAATTATCGATGGTCAGTTTTATGATGTTGTAAATTTATGCTCATACAGTAAGTTAATGATGAATTAATGTCAATGACTACTCATTGTATTTTGTACAATTCTGACTGTTGATCAGTGTAAATGAAAACTATATCAAATTGAGTATATTCATAGGTAGTTTTAAAATTTAGTTTAGGCTTATAATCAATCTATCATCGTGTTCTTACTTAAATCAATCGATTCATGATTCTCTTATTGAAGTATCAATTGTTTGCTTTTTTCAACAATTCAGTCACATACTTACACGTTTGAAAATAATTGAACTCAGAACTTTTAAGTTTATTAAATAGAATTACACTTAAAGATTATTAAGACAACATCTAAAAGTTGATATTTCTCAATTTAACTAAGTTCTGAGAAGTTGCTATCATTAATTTGATACCTCTAGTAATTATTCTATCGGTTAGGAGGATGATACACCTTTTCTTTCTCTACCTCACTCATGAATTACTTTGACTGATTAAATAAAATGGATTACTGGGTGAAATAATGCTTAAACTATTGTACTTAAGAAAAATAACTCAGTAAAATCTATCTACCTTAAAGGATAAGAATTTAAATGAAGTATTCAAAAACAAATGAAGTTAAAGATATGGTAGAAGAAAACTACTAGACACTAGATAGTTGATGGAAATATATAATAAGCCTTGAATTCATGTATCATATTGTATATTAATAATGTTTATCTTCAATTCTAATTGAAATATCGCAACAACAAGAAATGAAAATCTATATAAATGTCATAGTTAAATAGTTTTTACTACTGAACTGTTCAAAATAGTAATAATAACAAATTTAATTGGTCAAAAATGAGTTATGTCAATAAATCTATACCCTAACAACTGATTTACCCCAACATTCAAATCCATTCAACAGTAGTATACTTTATAGTCATACATATATGGTTTTCATTGAAAGATATTATCAATATGGGATAGATTTTTCTATATAATAATCTTATGAATAATCACTATGAAAAAATGTTGACCTAAATCATTAGAGAAATTTTAACCAAATAAGTTTGAATATATAACTTTAGTGCTAGTTGTAATTTTAGTATTGAAATAAACAAATAAACAAACTTAGTTGTTGATGTTATGATTATTTAAATTAACTTAATGATTGACATATTTATAAAACATGTTTTCTATGATGGAATAATGTTGATGATTGATTCATTCATTTATTAAAAGGACTAAAGTATTAGGTGTCGTTGAACTAGCTTATTGATTTATGTAAGTATTGTTAAAGTTCCTTATTAACTTGACCTACTTCTTAATTAATGTTTATTTCTTTTTTTTACTGATGATTTTTATGATACTTTTCTTTCAATAGAAAGAGGTATATATGTTACTTTACTGATTAACGGGATAGTATAAAGCATCATTCATTATTACAACAACAAGGAGATAGAGACTAGCTTCATAATGTAAACAAAATAATTTAAAAATAGTGAGAAAAATGTTAAATATACATTTATTTATTAAAAAGAATTTAAAAAATATGACGCTTAAGTGATTAGTTTGACTTAAAATTAACGGTACTTGAACCTTGAGTGGATACTGAGTAATGCGGGTCTAGACTCTATGGGAAGCATCAATTCCTTGAGGATTTCAAGTACATCTAGCTGCCTAGTATAAATGAGTATGAAGTTTAAATATAAGGTTTCCTGCCTATTTCCTCCAGTTGCCTAATATTCCTAAATCGTTCACATGATATAAACCTCTTTGGATTAGTGATGACATCGTCATTTGATCGACAGAATTCTATTGCCAGTAAGGACTAGATAAATATGATATATATCACTATCTCTAATCATTCAACATCTCATTGCTATTATTTTGAACCTTTTCCTATTCATTCTATCATATTGGTTTCCATGTGTTGATCTAGAGTCTTAACTTTAGCTGCTGCATATTTTGATCATGTTCTACCTTGTATATAACTGGCCGAATGAGTCATTTCTGATCAGTTCATAATTTTAACAAATTAGTTAAGTTTGTAGTTTTCGAAAAATTGCCAGTACTTTCACTCCATTAATTCTTTGATCGAATATTCTTTTCTAATCACAGTAATATGCAACAGATCAGATTTACTGTTGTTGATCTTTCAGATCTGGTATTTAGTGGATTACAAATGATTATTTAATGTGTAGTTTAAGCTCATGAAGAACAATTATGAATACGATTAAAATGAATTGTTCATAAACAACTTTAGATTACTGGATAGTATTTAGTAGTATAACTTAATTAACAAAAAATACGTGGGTGAAATTATTTAAATTTCAAAAGGTCAACCATATCATGATTTGTTAATCATTTCATGATGAAGTAATAGGGTAGGGAATTTTCGGAACAAATCATTCAATCATCACTGATTTCAAACTGAAAAAAATGAATGTTTGGCGCAATCTTTTCAAGTTGAAGACACATCATCTCGAGTATTTCAGCTATGATGAACGTATGTTATTAAAATGAATGAATAAATGAAACCTTTCGACTTTAGTAGATTCCGAATCACCACACAAGAAGCATACAAATATGTGTTTATAAGGACAATGTACATAATAATCCCGCTCAGAATCATCTAGTTTTATTTTCTACTACCAACAATGCAATGTAAAAATATTGTTCTTCGCTCAACTTCATGAGTTAATTGAAGGTAGACCACCATGGAACACCTGGAAACCTGGAAACGGCCGTTCAGTACATCCAGTTTTTCCATGGTGGTCTAGCTTCAATTGACTCATGATCTAAACTAATGAAATCATTTTTATTATATTAATCAATTGATTATGATTTTGCATTAATCTGATCATTTCTGTGATTATTAACTATTGAATTTAATCAATGTACAAATGAAATGGACTCGAATCTCAACGAATCCTTCTTACATTGCTATCAAATAAATTTTCACTACAAGATTTGTTTTTTGGTGTAGTGCGGACTACGAGATAAAGAATCTGCGGTGGCCTGGAACAAAAGTTTTTTCGGAACTAGAATGTTATTACGTTTAACATATCAAAAACATAAACTGTTTATTTAGTTATTCAATTGAAAACGTTTACTTGTATTTTTATTTCCTATTTTTCTGTCTAAAAAACGGATACTTCGGATTGTATTGAGTCCCATTTTATTAGAACGTAATGACAGGAAATCACTTGTACGATTTCCTTCTCTATCTCCAGTTCAATTATTGATTAATTCACCTATATTCCCGATAGGACCGACAACCGTGGTACCATTTGATACCGACCAGTGAATAACAACCAAGAAGTCAAAGCCTTTCAGTTTTTGAGTTTCTTGCAACCCAGTGTTCAATTAGAAGAAGAAAACAGAAAACAGATCAATTCTCGATTGTACATAGTTCACTGATGATTCAAACTAATGTAGTGAAACAACTGAAATGTCTTGCCACCCAGTAACATAATTGGATTAAAATATATACATAACTTAGCCGTAAGTGATACAAGATTAGAGTAATAGATGAATAATTAATTAATGATAAATCTGAAATAATGAATTATGGATCAAAAGAAGAGTAGAATTAGGAGAATATAAAATACATCAGTCAAAGAGTCTACTAATTATTTAAATTAAAATATAAACGATAATACTTTTTGTAATATTCTCAAAAGTTATATTGCTGTACTATTCGTCTCATAATATCACAACTTTTAAATTATTCTATTATTATTAAGACAGAAAGAAAAAGTTTTTTTTAATATATACAGTCTATGACTATTATTCATCCTCGTTCTTACTACTAATATAGTAGTAGTAGTAGTAGTAGTAGTAGTAGTAGTAGTAGTAGTAGTAGTAGTAGTAGTAGTAGTAGTAGTAGTAGTAGTAGTAGTAGTAGTAGTAGTAGTAGTAGTAGTAGTAGTAGTAGTAGTAGTAGTAGTAGTAGTAGTAGTAGTAGTAGTAGTAGTAGTAGTAGTAGTAGTAGTAGTAGTAGTAGTAGTAGTAGTAGTAGTAGTAGTAGTAGTAGTAGTAGTAGTAGTAGTAGTAGTAGTAGTAGTAGTAGTAGTAGTAGTAGTAGTAGTAGTAGTAGTAGTAGTAGTAGTAGTAGTAGTAGTAGTAGTAGTAGTAGTAGTAGTAGTAGTAGTAGTAGTAGTAGTAGTAGTAGTAGTAGTAGTAGTAGTAGTAGTAGTAGTAGTAGTAGTAGTAGTAGTAGTAGTAGTAGTAGTAGTAGTAGTAGTAGTAGTAGTAGTAGTAGTAGTAGTAGTAGTAGTAGTAGTAGTAGTAGTAGTAGTAGTAGTAGTAGTAGTAGTAGTAGTAGTAGTAGTAGTAGTAGTAGTAGTAGTAGTAGTAGTAGTAGTAGTAGTAGTAGTAGTAGTAGTAGTAGTAGTAGTAGTAGTAGTAGTAGTAGTAGTAGTAGTAGTAGTAGTAGTAGTAGTAGTAGTAGTAGTAGTAGTAGTAGTAGTAGTAGTAGTAGTAGTAGTAGTAGTAGTAGTAGTAGTAGTAGTAGTAGTAGTAGTAGTAGTAGTAGTAGTAGTAGTAGTAGTAGTAGTAGTAGTAGTAGTAGTAGTAGTAGTAGTAGTAGTAGTAGTAGTAGTAGTAGTAGTAGTAGTAGTAGTAGTAGTAGTAGTAGTAGTAGTAGTAGTAGTAGTAGTAGTAGTAGTAGTAGTAGTAGTAGTAGTAGTAGTAGTAGTAGTAGTAGTAGTAGTAGTAGTAGTAGTAGTAGTAGTAGTAGTAGTAGTAGTAGTAGTAGTAGTAGTAGTAGTAGTAGTAGTAGTAGTAGTAGTAGTAGTAGTAGTAGTAGTAGTAGTAGTAGTAGTAGTAGTAGTAGTAGTAGTAGTAGTAGTAGTAGTAGTAGTAGTAGTAGTAGTAGTAGTAGTAGTAGTAGTAGTAGTAGTAGTAGTAGTAGTAGTAGTAGTAGTAGTAGTAGTAGTAGTAGTAGTAGTAGTAGTAGTAGTAGTAGTAGTAGTAGTAGTAGTAGTAGTAGTAGTAGTAGTAGTAGTAGTAGTAGTAGTAGTAGTAGTAGTAGTAGTAGTAGTAGTAGTAGTAGTAGTAGTAGTAGTAGTAGTAGTAGTAGTAGTAGGATAATCGTAATCCATTTATTTTATTTCCTTAAATAAAAAAAGACAAAAGAAAGAACTTTGTAATTAAGTCCTATACAATTTTATTTAAAAAAAGAAATCAAAAATTGACATGAGTCAATCAAGTTTCATTTAGGATATAACTAATTCTGTCAAAATTGACGTTTAAAATAAAATACCGTCATTTCTTAATAGAAATAAATATCATGTTATATGTTCGTACATGAATGTATGTAATATATATAAACTACTTATATTCCACAAATAAGTAGATATACATACAAATATACATTTAATACATTTATTCACTATTATTCTTGTAGAGACAATTGTAGATAATAAAAACAAAAGAAGAATCTATAACTTGTATCATAGATTACATTTTATTGTTGATGGATAGATGTGTATGTCATTCTATCAAAAGGTAAGTCATTGAACGTGTAAATGAAGTGTAAACATCGTCAATCTAAAATTTATTTTATTTCTATTTTTTTGTGGTATATTTTGCATTCATTTTCAGCCTTCATTTATTTAAATGAAATTGAATAAAGTTTTAATATACTATAATAAGATTATATATTAAATGTCAGCTTTGAAGTCTATGGTAATTGGGCTTTTGTATAGATGCTTTTGTACAAGCATAGATACATAGTATATATTAGATTTAATAAAACACCACATGTTCAATAGTAAATTTGATTAACTCACTTGTAAATTAACAAATAGAGAAATCTAGGAAAACGACCATCATTAAAAGAAAAAAAGGTAATGAAACAACAGTGAAAACAAACAAACAAACATACAACTAATAAGAATAGACGCTTATAATCATTATAAGGAGTATTTACACAGTGTACTGTGTCAATCAAATAGGAACATTTGGAAAGAAGGAGAAGAAAGAAAAAAAGGATAAAGGATATTCAAAATATGATTTTTAAAAAAATTGAAATCCATAGAAGCCACAAAGATTAAAGTATTGCAAATTAAAGTATTTAATTTAATTATCAGTATAAGGTTGTGGAGATTAATAAGTTTTTGATTGAAATCATGAACTGACCGATGTTAGACCACCACTGAAAATCTGGAAGCACTGAACAGCCGTTTCGTCCTATTGTGGGACTAGAGATCTAGAGTTTGGAGGTTAAGTGTTCGCACGAGAGACTAAATGCCCTAATGAGGAGTCCTATAATAGGACGAAACGGCCGTTCCGTGCTTCCAGGTTTTCAATGGTAATCTAACATCAATCAGTTCATGATCTCAATCAAAAATTTTAATTTAATTGTTTATTTTTTCTAGTTAGAAAAACAATATGATTTCTTATTAAGTGTTTCTTAAAACTATAGGTTGAAAAGATTTATGCTTGATCTAGTATTTTACCAAAGTAGCTTTCATTATGAACCTAGATCAGTTGAAAGATTACTGAACATAATCTTAGTGAACGATTGTCTATCAGTATACATTCATTAATGTCAAAAGATTATCTGATTGTTAGTCATTGAGTTGTCATCTGTTAGTATACAGTTTCAATGATTAAAGTGAGAGATGTCATTGATAAACAGTTAGAAATGCAACAGAATTACTATAATAAGTAATTAGATTGAAAGTAGTATATGAAATAATAATTTCTAGACTTGTCCAATATATACTCTAGTAGTTAAGAATGGACCAGCATACAAGAAATAAATAAAGTCATCAACTCATATGAAAGTATTTTACTGTCAACAAAATTAAGCTGGTTAAATGTATAGTGTAATAATCGTTTTCCAAGTACAATAACTGTGTGAAGTTAATTTTTCTCAAGTAAATGGGTATGGCTAGCTTTGTTGTTATTCATTGGTTTAGCTAGAGTTATTTCTGTTTCCCTTAGAAACATTATCAAGTCTATGTATAGTTGGAGTTATTACACATGTCAAGTTATATTTTCAGAAAACATGGATAGACTCAACATTCAAACCTGCTAAGAACAATAATTTATACTATTGTAGTGAACGAGAACACAAGCGGGAACAATCGGATGTATTTGAACACAAAATTACAGAACATCTTGGTAGAATCTGCGAACAATACAGTAAATACTTCATTTGCAAAATGTCAATTAATTGTCTCAAACTTGACTGTTCCTTTTGCAAATATCAATCAATCATCTCAGACTTCATTGTCTCTGCATTTACATACCAAATGCTTTCTGTTTCCGTTCTTTTCTTCTTGATCTTCTTAATCTTCTGCTCCCAGACATTTTATTCCTGGTTAGCGTTATATACTACTTATGACAATATAAGTAGCACACGCCACACTATCAGTATAGCAGTATATAAGTGTGCTGTACGATAGCTATGTAGTGTAAGTGGACTAACTAAAATATCACTAAATAGTTAATTTACAACATATTGCCACTACACAGTGTTTCATTTAGTCCTATGAATATTCATGAATGAGAACTACTGAAAAATGGATCTCCAAATAAGATAAAATAAACATTTAAAAGAATTTCTGATCTCCAATGATTCTACAGTTAACATCAATCCATGTCAAATATGATCAATATCACTTTTTATAAACTTTACATTTATTCATTTAAAGAAAAAACAACAACTTGTTCTTCAATTTTTTCTATGTATATGGCTTAATGATTAACCATTTTCTTAAATTAAACATTGTTGAGTTATTATGAGTTAGATTTAACTTAGTCAAATATAAACGTTACCCTAATTCATTTCTGTCATAGTGATAAAACAAAAGAGGAAATCATTTATAATCTTCTAGTCAGGGTAAGCTGTATATAAATATATAGATGGAGATAAAACATTTAGCATAAATCAAATGGATAGTGTCACTTGTCCACATTTACACAATCACTCACGCATTTATCCATTTATTTATTTACTTATCTATTTATTATAATGAGAAACTGTCATAAATGTCATTAATATGTTTCTATCAATATATCTATCGACCTATCTATCTATCTATTAACTTTTCAATGCTCAATTGATGTTATTATTTATGAATTTCAAACATTTTTATTTTCTAGTGTAATGTGTGAAAATTTTTTTTGTTTTTGTTTATTAAAATGAAACGAAAGAGACTGAGAAACAATTATTGATTTTATTGTTGTATAGATACATCATGAATGCTTAAATGAATTTCATTTACATCAATCTCCCTGTTGTATGATTCGTTATTATGTGTGTGTTTCAATTTCTTTCTTCTAAAGAGAATCTTTCTTATTTGATGATTAGCGAAGGTGTGTGTGAGGGAGAAAGAGAGAAAGGAACTAAATGTTTATTTACTTACTAACTCAATTGTCAGGTTTGAATTGATGATGAGGTTGATACTGACAAATAAGGGAAAGTATTTAAAATCATGTTTTGTTTAGTTTACTGATAATTTTAAGGGTAAAGGTCAAAGACTAGTGTTGTAATTTTTACCAAAGTCTGTTTTAAGTAGATGAAATGGTGACAATACAGAGAATTTTGTTATCTATGAAAATAACTGTAAGATTATGTTTTTCTTTGAATGTTATAACTGGTGGACGATCAACATGTGCAGACAAACGATTGTGTCAGTAGACCACAGTTTACAACTCATTAATCAAAAATGCACGACTGAAATTATAAGTTTTACTAACTGAAAAGTCTAATTGTTTGATATTCGTTTGATGATTTGTCTATAGACAGTAATTTATCCAGGACATATTTGATTCATAATAGCTAAAGACCATTGGTTTAGGATTCAGTAGGCCATAATTCTAGCTTTAGTCAATTCATTATATGAAGAGACAATCAGATGGTGGTTGGACGTAATCGACAGGAAACCCTGGACCCGGGTTTCGTGCTATTTGACACTCGTCAGCAAGGTGTACCTGTAATCTTGAGGGAACTGATGCTCCGTGACGGATTCAACTTCGTGTCACCCAGCTTCACAGTCAGAGACGTTACCACTGAGCTATCCGAGCCGCGACCGACCTCCTGTAGGACTGAGATGTAATCACAATTGATTGATCACTGGTTGGCGATCAATGTCATGCGTGTCTAGTCCTTATTAGTGCAGATCGAATGCTATCGATCATGTTGCAATGTGGCCACCAGTCTAGGTGACTCGACACTGCGGGCACTATATATTGAGATTAGACGGTGGTTGGAGGTAGTTGACAGGAAACGGATCTCCAACACCTGATTCGCCAGATGTCACCAATTCATGATTATAACTATCTTCAAAATGAAGAAATACTTACAAGTTGTCGACTCGAATAAAATAAATCTGTTCGATAACTAATTTTTATAGTTGCATTAGTTCAAGGTAGTTGAGTGTGCTGATCCGTTTGGAAGAGATGGTTAGTGCAGAATTAATTTGTGAAAATCTTTTGGCATTATTCACACTTCATAATTTCACTTAGTTTGTACACTCATTGTTATTGACCATAAATTGTTGTTTAAGTCAAGCTTGAATTTCTTCGTACATTGTACGTTATATTGATTGCAGTTCACAAAGATTGCAACTGTCGATTTTACCTAATCAATGATACAGTATTATCTCGGATAATATTTAGGATCTTGGGATTGGTGATTATCTTTTATAACTGTGAACATTTCAAATCAACTGAACATGTAATAATCAACAACTTTCCAGTAACCCTAGCCTAACTAATAAATAAATATACAAACTCACTTTACACGTCTATTTTTGCATAACATTCTTAATGATTCATTATTTGTATTTTTGGTTCATCTCAGTTTACACAAATAAATCTAAATGTAATCAAAAATTTTTATAACCAGTAAAGGTATTCCACCATTTTAAGCTGTATGAAATGGCATTAAGTGTCAACTTTAAGATCAGCAGATGGATATTCTGATTCAGAATTATTAAACGCCTATTTTTTTTACTGTCCATAAACAATAAAGTGACCGAATCAGAATATCACTCTGCAGTTATTTGTCCTACCGATATTATTGTTATTTTATTTCTGTCATTTCTTTCTGATTTTGTGTGGACCTACTCACGATACTTTTTAACGG